TGAAACAGCAAACGTAATCAAATAAACGTTTCAGACAAAATCATATCAACAAGAAGATAGATAGTAATAAAAATAAAATTGTCACAAGGCTGGAAGTTCTAAGACTGCTCTTTTTTTGCGGACAGAGAGAGAGGACAACTTGCACGCGTTCCGCGCATTAGGAAAACATAACAGAAAACAGTCATTACTGCCAACAAAATGGCACTGACAATTCGAGATCTTGAACTGAGAGTTGATTGATTCAAACCTGAAACCACTTGGCATGCCTGAGTGCAGCTAAAGCCTCCAAACACTTAGCCTTGGGAAGTACATCGGGTGGATCTGGTTTCGTCACAGCGGGCGCCGCGGGCGTTGCTTGCGGTTGAGCAGCTCCCTGTTGCTGCTGTCCAGCATTATCTGAGATTCCAACAAAGAAAGCACAACACGCTTAGACAACACTTAGAGTGTTTGATCATGCCCAAAACTTTTCCCCTCTATATATAAATTATATTTTAACTCAAGTACATTAAACTTGAGGGCATAGCCTAAAATATTTTTATTTTATTTGAAACAAAAATAAACCTAATCGAATGTAGTACACGACAATGGTGCATTACCCCTATTCCTGAACGTCCTTTTTTCCGCATTACAAAAGAACGACCGATGTTTCTTATTGAAATTGACAGCGTTACTCAAAATGAAACGTTAAAGTAACACTATCAAAAGAATCATCGGTTAAGAAAAAGGAGTTGACTGCACATTGTATGTTATGCGTACAGCATTCGATAATAGAGGGTTCTCTTTAAAATTATTAATGCATGATCAAAAAGTCCATAGTTTTAAGATTGCCTCAGCGTTGTTTCCTCATACCAAAAGCGTGTCCACGTTTGTACTAGCATATTCTCTGCCTTAATGGAGACTCCAGCTTAACTATTATCGACAGAACTTATAAAATGTACCACTACAAATTAAATTAAAACGAAGAAAAGCGACGTCTAATCGTATCAAGTTTACGCTCTCTCTTTTCCGTTAAAAAATGGTTGTTAATGTGTTTCTATCTACGCTCTTAGTTTTTAATATTAATGTTTTTTTAAAAATATAAATTATACTCAGTCGTGGACACACTAGATTGCGGCTGTATTGAAAAGAAAAGGAATTTTGCATGTTAGAGCGTATATACACTGGCAACCGTTGAAGTCCTTGGCTGCCCCTGCATCATCCTGTTTAAAAGAATTTACAAAGAAGCTTTTGGGCCATGAAAAGAACAAACAAAATTCATAAATCACATTATTCAAGAAAATAGCATGAAAATAAAAGATGCTTTCTATAAAGTCTCTGAAATTATCAGTTATCCTTTTCTTGGCCACTATGAAAATATAAAACGATCAAATCACCTGCAGCAGCAGCTGGTTTAGGCGTTTCGCGCATTAAAGGACTGGTGAGTGTTACGCTAACGGTTACGCTGCCTCCTGAAACAGTTAACGCAGCTGACTCTGGATGCTTTCCAACATTGTAAGTATCTTCTGGAGCTACAATCTTTAATTGTGCTGGAAGTATCTCAGCAACTTTGTTCAACAGTGATCTGTAAACAAGAGAATATGTACATATGAATTGTGCATAAGACATTTAAATACAAAAACATGGTCTTATGCAACTAACCGTGTTGGTTTTTCTGCACACAGAACCACAAGGCAAACGTGATTATCACCAGACAATAGAAGTCCCTTTGCTAAATTGCCAACACGCATTACCCCTCTCAATATCCTTGAATCTTCTTTCTCCTTTTGGAATGAAAACAGATTACCATCGCTGCCATCTTCTTTTTGCGGTGTTGTCGTTTTCTTTTTATCTGGATCTTCTTTAATCTTTACCATATCTGCGTTTTGTTGTGGTTGCTGCTGTTGAGGTTGTTGAGCAGTCGTGGTTGGAGTCGTTGGTGTAGCATTGGTAATAGGTGGTGTTGTTTTCTTACCTGCCATTATAAAGATATTGTAGCTACAATGCATGACAAAAAATTTAAAAAGAAAAGAAAAAATAATAATTACCAGCTTCTGCCAATGTATCAGAGACAAACTTCAAAGCTTTTTCAGTATGAGAAACGATTTTTTGAACTGCCAGCAGTTCCTGCTCTTTAGGATAAATGGTAGTATGATGAGCTAATACATGTTTGTCATCTGACGAATCTGGCCTCCTTTGAGGACCAGGAAACATCATCATTGGTGGTGGTCCCGGGAAAGGACGTGGCATCGGTGGAGCTCCAGGTCCACGTCCATAGCGTCGATACCACTCGTAATATTCACATTCTTCTTCATAGCGTCGTCTTTCTTCCCAATACATCATTTCTTCATCCATCATTGGACCCATAGGTCCCAATTGATTTATTTCTTCTCTACGGCGCAGGTATTCATCTCGCATTTGTTGTCTACGTAATTTTTCTTCTAACATTTTTCTTTGTTTCAGACTTGGTTTCATATCAACAACTAAATCAGGATTAACCTTCTTCTTATAAGCGAACCTATGCCGTCTTCCTTTCATGTGCATATCTTTGGCATTGGGGTCATTAAATCTGCATTCACAAAGCTTACAATTAAAGCTTATAATTTTTCCATCCTCAGACTTGTTCTCCTCTATATATTCTTGACCAACTGGTTGAATATCTTTTTCATCAACAGCTGCTTCTTCGACAGTTTCTTCCGCCGCAGTCTCTTCCGTTTTATTTTCCGCAGTTTGATTCTGATTTACAGTTCCCAAATTTCCAGCTACAATTATACATACTTATTGTCTATTTACTGTCGTAATATTTGTACATAACCTATCCTAATATTTGACCACATATCCTAACTTAACCACTATGTATCTGTGAAAAAAGAACAGATTACTTACAAGCAACGAAATTAATCTTAGGAGTAGCCGTTACTGTTGGCTTCTTAGTTCCTGTAGTTTTAGCTGCTGCTGCTGGTTTTGGATTCAAAACAGTTGGATCTGCGCTCGGTATTGGTTTTCCAAGTTTAGTATGTAATTTAACAACTTTTTGATGTTTAGCTCCCCTTATGTGAGCAGCATAAGCATCATTTCCAGTGCAAGTGACATCACAAAGCTCGCAACGTAGACTGTTGCCTGCTCCACGTGCCGGTGGTTGCTGCGGTACTTTTAGAGAGGCTTCCTTCTTCTTATGTTTTTGGCCCTCCAGATGCTCACGGTACGTTTGTGGTCCAGCACAGCTGATCTTACAGACATCGCAATAGTGTAGTTGTTGAGGCTTAGGGGGCTGCTTGGGTCGCATTGCCTTCATTCCTCCCCCTCCAGTGCCAAATCCCTTCCGTCCGTAGCCCTGCCAACCTCCAGTCTTCTGGTTAGTCGAATTGCTGTTTGCACTCTGTTGGGCTACATACATAGTCGCAGCGCTATATAGCGCTGCGTCGTAGCCGGAATACGTTGTACTCGCCGTTTCTAAGGGAAATGAAATTGAAACCTCAAACTTTGACTGGAGGAGTCAACCCTTGTATTCATGGAACCATTCTACTTGTACCCATCAAAACGAACACTTTATTCCTTTGATGAAATATTTATCAAGTATATATTGTAGAATAATCAAAGATCTTTACATAAAGTCAGTTTTGTAACTTCAGAAAATTCTGCTAACTTCTAAACCACGTTGTGGTTTAAAATGTTGGCAGAATTCTGTTATACCATTTGTACATATCGATTGAATAGCCAGAGGATCAATTTCATGTTATTAGTTCCTACGTCACCGTTAGCAGGGCATTTACACAGGATTTTCAATCTTGGCGAAAAACATTGATATATATATATGACTAAATGAAAACTTACTATTTGTAGCCGTCGATGGTGTAGCCGCGGGTGTAGCAGGAGCTGTATATCCCGAAGAATAAGTAGCACTTTGAGTAGGGTTAGATTGCTGGTAAGCTGTGCTCGAGGCCTGGTAAGTTTTTGCTTGACCAGTAGTAGTAGCTTGCCTCGCGGTGCCTGTGTACGCGCTAGTTGTACTGTACGCGGGCTTCGCAGCTTGATAATGTGTCTCTGTAGTAGTGTAGGTTGCTGCAGCCGCAGCAGGCTGCTGATAGTACGTTTTAGCAGCGTCGTATGTAGCTGCCGGTGCAGCACGTCCGTAACCGTAATCGTATGTCTGAGCCACAGTACCAGGATTCGCAGCTGTAAATAGAAAGGTGTTCGTGAAGCTCAAAATTACAAGCACGAGGACACTAGATAGTGGATTTTCTTGCGTGACAGGGGAAAAAAGGAAGATACGAAACGTCATTGAAATCAACTCACCAGCGTACGTAGTCCCAGTGGCAGCTGCAGCGGCGGCCGCTTGGTACGTTTCGTAACCTGTGGCCGCGGCAGCAGCGGGTCGTTGCGTGTACGTAGCGGCAGTCGCCGCCGGAGTTACTGCGTATCCCGCTTGACCAGTCTGATAAGCGGCTGCGCTGGTCGCTCTGTTTCAAAGAACAATAGGTTTTGCTTACACACAAGGAATAAAATGAGAAATGGAAACGGGCAAAACGAAAAAGACCTCTATCGGATCCGTGCCCGGGAGAGACGCTCGATGGACGCTCTACTCTCAGCAAGAAATGGCGGCCAAGCCGGCTGGGCTCTCGCGTGCACCGATTTTAACGAACAGTTATTACTCCCGCCAACGTAGTTACCGTCACGAATTTTCGAAAAACTTAACACTAGCTACTTAATAATTATGGTATGCAATCGATTTCGTACCCATATTGCGTTCCGCCGTGAGTAAACCCAAAATAATTGTTCTGCGCCATCCTTCCTCGCAGAGAATCCCGGAAAGAAGGACAATGGAGGAAGTTGTAGGGCGTGCCACGAACTCGATAGAATGGCGGCGCTGCCGCGGCTCCTATTGGTTATTCTGTTGGAGCCGGGCGCAACGAATGCAAGAATGCTGCGCCCTCAGTGGCAGCTTCCACAAGAACTCTGCGTCGTCCTCCGACAAAACTACCTCCGCGCAAATCAACGCGCTACCGTACTAGCCAGAAAAACTACCGCGAGAAAGTATTCACGAAACGGACAGATTGTATACGGTTAATTGGAACTTAACTTACTGCGTGTTTTTCTCGTTATCTCCGTTATCCGATGTAGTATGTAGTTTGCGTATTTTTCGCGGCTGGTGCGTGTTGCGGTGAACGTCCGGCGTGCGCAAGAAAGGGCTAGTTTGCCGGCGACGCGTGCGTTCAACGAAATATTTTTCACGCCATCTAGCAGTAGCTGCATCTATCGTTCAAAATTGAAGCGCTCTCTAGTAGGTTTTGTCATAATTCCGATGGAACCTTTTCCCAATCGCACAATCAATTTGAAAGAAACACCATCGTTCAATACGTAATATACGTATATATTGAAGTATTGTTTCCTTTTTTTTTTTTTCCAATAAATACGAATACAACGGTGACAGCATGCCGCCACAGTTAGCGAAGCAAAAGCATGCGAGATATTTCCAGAGGTTATTGCAAATCATGCCCAATTCATGCTCAGCAGAATTCGACTGCTCTAGACTTGCGGTAGCCTTTTTTGCTATATCAGGATTAGATATATTGAACTGCCTGAATGATCTCGGCGAGGAGATGAAACTCGATGCGATAAACTGGATCTATAGGCTTCAAGTGACTGGTGCTGGGCCACGTTCTGGTTTTCAGCCTTCGACAACAATACCAAAGGATACTCCAAAATATCAATGTGGTCATTTGGCAATGACATACATCGGATTAGTTACTCTTCTAATTCTCGGTGATGATTTGAGTCGAGTTGACAAGAAATCCATCATTGAGGGAATGCGAGCTTGTCAGAATCCTGATGGGTCATTTACAGCTGTCATAACAGGATGTGAAAGTGACATGAGATTTCTTTATTGTGCCTGTTGCATATCTATAATTTTAAATGATTGGTCAGGCATCGACAAGACAAAAGCAATTGACTACATTCTGAGGAGCATTGTAAGTTTTCATCCACTTCTCTCTTTGTTTCACGTATCAAGAGTATTAACAAAAATTGGCTTTGTCCGCTTAATTTTATCATAGCACAATATCTCAACAATGATTATAGTCATATGATGGAGCAATGGGCCAAGGACCTGGTCTTGAGTCGCATGGAGGATCCACATTTTGTGCAGTAGCTAGTCTATTTCTCATGAATGAGCTTCACAATGTACTGACAAGTGATCAGTTAAATAAACTAAAGAGATGGTGTCTCATGAGACAAGACAGCGGCTTTCACGGACGACCCGGAAAATCTTCTGATACTTGTTACAGTTTCTGGGTGGGCGCGACTCTGCAAATGCTTGATGTTAACAAATTATCAGATCCAGAAGAAAATAGGGCATTCCTGCTTGAAACTCAAGATAATGTTGTAGGAGGATTTGGAAAGTTTGCTGATTGTCTGCCAGATCCCCTTCATACTTACCTAGGTAATTGCAACAAATATTTATAAAATTTATTTTATTTTCTATGAAATATCTATAAAACATACAGTACGAATAATTGTTTTTTGTTTTTCTTTTAGGTCTATGCGGTTTAAGCCTCTTAGGAGAGACTGGTTTATGCATAATGAATGCTGCCCTTAACATTTCTGACCGAGCATACAAACATTTATTAAAAATACATGAAGTATGGTAATGCAGTTAACAATCTTATAAAGTATTTGCAACAACTGAATATCATATCAAACGCACAGAGTTAAAATACAAAGGAAAACTAATGTTTTTTGCATCTTATTATGGATCCTATTTGTACAGTTCTCACAGATTCTCTGTGCCTAGAACCGTTATTCTAAAAGCGTCAATTAACGAGAATGTTATGATTTTGAGGTATGTTATCGACTGTTCTGTTTCAATGAAGACACTTGTTGAACACGTATCCAAAGCGCATACTGGATATAAGAGGAGACCCAATAGCATAATTTAAATGCATCTTAAAATGTCATTTGCGTATATATAAATTTTAAAAATTCTAATAAAAACAAAACAAAAAATATATGCAAAGAGTATTTGATATCCTTCATCATACTACAAAATTAATAAAATTACTATTTAACCGTTGTCTTTCACTTTTTCTGAAACTGATACGATTAACGCAGTACTTTGTTCGAAAGAGCATCGCAGTGCATATCATTAGACGAAAGAGTTTCGTTCATTTAAATTCCGTTTCTTCGTGTCTGTAACTGCGACCCCGTCGGGTAATGTACACTGCAAAGAAGAAAACTTGACACTGCGAAGTTGCCCGAGCGTAGCTGCCACATGCGCCCCACCTCGCGGAGCGATGATTCCATGGTAACCGGGGTGGGTTCGCAGATCACAACAGACGACGTTCGTTCGCTCAGTCGAAGAGACTGCGAGGTTCGAGAGGTGCGTGCTCCATCGTCGCCGGTTGTAATTCTCATCGCGCACTAGTGCATTGTGTTCAGTAACGTTCTAATTCGAAAAGGGGAGATACTTTTTTTCAAAATTCACGTTACACCAGTGGGATCTTTCACGCGCACGAGAGCAAAGTGGAAACGCAAACGAAACAATAGAACAATATCTATTCAACGATCATTGGAAAAGAGAAACTTCATTGTCAAGTGTTGGGGGGGTCGCATTCGCGGCCTAGACATCAGCAGAGGTTAGTGCGCGCCTAAAATTTAAATTAATTTAACACGGACTACACTGTTTATCCTCGATCGAGGATGAAATCGTTGATCGAACACGATTTGGGACAGATGTACACGCTTACCGTCGGATAGATTGCGCGTCTAAATCTAAAGCTAAGTTCCACATTTATTGGAGCGTGCTTCACAGAAATACTTAACTAAGAAAACGTGAAGTCGTCCAGAAACTTGTTACTTCGAATCGTCATGTTTGTGACGACGTCGCGTAACTTCTATCGAAGCAAAACTGAATGGGGAAAGTACACGGTGTAACATGTACTACTTGTATTTAAAGATGAGTAAAAACTTGGGAATTCAAGAGACCACAATTGGAGGTAAAACTCGCGGAAACGGAAAGGAGAACAGCATTCTCGTCAGCATTGTCCTTAACGTGACATCGAGTCACGTTACGTGAAAAGAAAAGTTGCGGACAACAGACGATGGAAACTGAATTTCGCAAAACCGACGAGTCCGCTTAATTGCGTCAGTTAGTCATGGCTGAACGGATGCGTGTACCTTAATTCCTTACATGTGCATTTGTCACCGTGAATGTGACACGCGTGTTAAGCGAGGAGCGATACGAGTAACACGAAAACACCGTGTATATATTTAGAAAATAACGGCCAAAGCTTATCCAAGGTATCGCGAATTAATCGATCATCAGTATAGCGTGAAATTTTCCACAGTATATGATTTTCATCCATGCAGCCGCGCGTATCTTTCAGATAAACAGAAAAGGGGGGGGGGGACATCGGGGGAGATGAAACAGTTTTTTTTTTGGCATAAATTTACGCTTCAACGTAAATCGATGAACAACAAAATGTGTTGCCCCGTAAATAGGCAACCCTAACGAGTAACCACGCGATGAATGAGACTATTATACAACGGGCGTTCGCCGTCGTTTTTAATTAATGCTAGCACAGCGGTATGTTTTTTCTCTCTGTTCTCATATCCGCGAATTGGTCTTTTATATGTGCGCTCGCTAACGTCCACGGCAACTTCATTTGCGGTACTTGATAAGCTGATTCGCATTCCATTAATCAATTTGCTCGAATTACGTGCTAGATGCATATAACGTGCATGTGCGAAAGTTTTAGACGATCTACGTTATCGTAGTAACGAAACATGCGAAATTTTAGCTTTTTGTGAAAATTCAAATGTTTCGTAAAATAACGAAAGACGATGTGAATTGTCTCCAATTGAAAAATTGAAAATAGTATTCAAATCCGAAGTATTCCAGTCTGATGTACGTGCAATGATCTAAGACCTTTGCCTACTGATTTTCCATCGAGACGATTACGCACCAGTATTTTATAACAATTAAAATAATTGTAAATGTTAGAAATAGTAGAGTTTTCTTTTATATATATATATATATATATAAAAAAAAAAAAAGAAAAAAACACTCGACAGAATGGAATTTGAAATTTCTAGCCACTAGTCTAGAGTATCCTCAGCCTTGAACAAGCTATCTGTTTAAAATACAGGCAACGACGAAAATATGTACGCATGTGCCTCCTAGAGCTCCGAAGGACATAACATAAATTTCGCTCTTTCTTTTTCATTTTCTGCCTCTTGGACGCACATTCCTCCAAGAGTATCACAAAATTTTCGTATTTCACTATTTGTTTTATTGCCTAGTAAAACGTTCCTTCGAATGTTGAATATTTTTTTATAGACTTCCTGATGGTTCTTAGTACATGGATACGTAGACGTATAATATAGAATGAAACGATTTCATCATACACAACGGTCATTCATTAGCGCGTTATTTTTAATACAGTCTGAGATTTATTTAAAAAGGAAAAGCTTATGTGTTCGTGAAGTAATCACTCCGTGAGGACAACTTCTCGATTCTATTGAAGTACATGCTCTGCACGTCAAATATTGAGAATATTGAGAAAAATCGATCGAGCGACGATATAATCCGGCGCTCGTTAAAATCGACGAAGGATTACAATTGAAGGGAGATTTACTCGCGAGATAGGATGAAAAAAAAAAAAGGAAAAAGGAGTTGAAATTGGATACGATCCCGCGTGCGGGAATCGGCAAGGATCGATATCCAAAAACGACCAAGCGGCCGTACGTGGACCTCTCGAAAGTCGTATTTAACAGACGAACGCGTGACCGTGGATAAAGCACAATCGGTCTCCTAACTTTGCCTGTGTGAGCACGTGCGCGCTGCGTATGTTTGCGCACGGCATGTGCGTTCGTGCACACACGTGTAGTCGTACACATCGATCGAAGGGCAGGTGGTGGGTATATTCTCAGACAAGATGCTCAGTTTAACAAGAAGGTTCGTGCCAGTTGCACAGCTGTCGGTGTGACAGCTGCATCTTTCGAAATAAAAAGAAAAACGTTGAAGAAATCGAGAGGCGGGGAGGGGACGAAGGTTGCCATTCGATTCGAAATCGTTTGACAATTCGTTACTTTCAACGAAACGTATGGGGAACGTAGTCTGAAGGCTTATTGGTCATCCTTGCATGATGACGCTTTGCGAACAATAAAATTATGAATTTCTAAAGATTACCAAACTGTACAGAATACACGTAATGTAAAAAACGGTGTGACATGGTATAAGTTTAAATATAAACGTTTATATTTATTTAGTACACAAACGTAATGTTTTAGTAAATAAAATAAATCTCTGTTTGAAGGTTGAACGATGAAACATACGTTATATTTGCGTAAACATGTATGTAGTGTGATAAAACATGTTTTTCAATTTCATTAAATTAGCTATATATATTATATATATTAAATATATTACTATTAAATATATTACTATATATATATTATATATATTAAATTAGCTATTATATATATATTATATATATAAATTATTTCGAAAGTTTCACTTTGAAATCGTTTGACGATGATAAGCACGGTTTGATATCTCGAATTATTGGAAATATAAGTCAACATAAAAGACTCGTAGATTATTATTTTCATCGGAGGAAATCCCTTGATTTCATCAACCTAATTGCGTGTGACGCTGTTATCGAAGGCTGTTACAAAGAAAGAATGACAGATCACTTCCGCTCCAAAATCGTTTGATGAGGGTACTGACAATTTCTTCTTTCGAGCTTCTTTTGAACAAACAGACTAAAACGTAAATTTATTACTATTTTTAAATCCAGACGTTTCTCAACTTAAACAGTTTTAAGGAAATGGTGCAAAAGTGAATTTCGACAATTTGTTGGTACAAACATTTGAAAACATCACAAACTACAACAACTCGCTACGAGTAACTAGATAAAACATAAATATCGATTTGAACGAAAAATTGTTAAAGAAATTGAGGAGGAATTATGAATCAATGTTACTCAATGAAAACAACGGTAATATTAAAAATTACTATAAAGAAATATTGTTCATTAAAGAAAAAGTAATGCTTCAAAACATAATCGTTCTGTACGACATGAACATGAATTATTTGTTTGAATTAAATAGTAAATTTTCAACTGTGTTCGAGTGTGTTTCGCGTGCTCTTTTCCCGTGATCGTAATTCTTTAATTTCGCAGATTTGATCGCGTGCGAAATTACCTTTCTAAATTCAGACACGTTTATTCGATACGACGCAATGCGAAAAAGTACATCAATTTTCAAGTAAGCGGAGGAACAAGTATATATCGCGTGCACACGTAACTTATGCACGTTCTCAATATTAAAAAAAATTAGTTTCACGTTAGAGAAATGCGGATTGTCAGATATGTAGCATACATATATCCTTGAACACATCGCGATAGTACGAAACAGATAACTAATTATAGAAGTGACGAAGCTTCAGGCTACTCGGGAATATACCTGCAACTCAACCTGTTCATCTGCATTTTTTCAACGTTTACCACGCGAAATCATCGTCTCTAAAAGTCCGTTTTAAAACACGAAAACGTAAAAAACTGTCGGTTTTAGGAAACTTTAAGAAATAATCGCGTGATTTTTAAACAGAATGAATATATCATAATACTTCGGAATATATTTCACAATATTTCGTTTTAGTAATAACTTTGGTATATTTATATAATTTTATTTATTATGTGAGTGAATCTCGATTATTAGTTGTCTCGTTGAATTAACACAATTCAGAGATCATTAGTCACCAGTGACTCATCACGGAAATTTATCATAATATTTAATGCTCGAACGAAACAGGGAGACGAAATTACAGGAAATTCCATGGAACCACTCTAGTCTGTGGCGGATAAAAATCAGAATAGAATTTTTTGACCTGTTTTTTCAAGTACCACCGGATGCTATAAACTCTGAATCGTGTCGCTTGCCTCGTTTTATGCAATCGAATTGTTGTGAGGTCTACGTTGAATACGTTAACCAAGAATAAGTTGTGACACAACGTTGTACAAATATACACTATTGTTACACAAAGTATCCAGATAAGATATAATTTAATAATTGCAATAGTATAGGAATCTTCTGCGTTCGAAACAAAATGTCTGGCCACATTTCTAATTGATAAAAGAATTTGTGGGCCGTGCGCAGAGGAGAAAGGGAAACAAATTCTAAAATTCATCGACGCTAATAATAATGCGTTTTATATACAATAGATACTCTCTACAATCTTCTAATTGGCGCGCGTAATAACTCGATCTATTGTAGTTAGGAAACGGCCGAGCAAAGAGAGCGAAAGTTCCTCCGGACGATCGATCATTTGTTTTATTCGTACTTCCCCGACACGACAATACATCAATTAAAACCTTTCAACCGGAATTTAATTTTCACGCAGAATTGTTCTACGTGAATATACCAAGGTAGGGTGAGCTTGGTTTAGATGTACGTGCAAGGTCAATTAAAAGTTCTGATCTGAAAAATTATTAAACAAAAAAACAGCTGCAAAAAATGTTATTATCTTTTATCCAAGATATCCAACTCTGGCAAGTTATCTAACATTTACCGACCCGTATTTCGTTGCACAATAGCAATTTGCCTTTCACACGTGAATCTTACATTTTACAGGAGCATCCTAATATAGCGTTTGACTCGCTATTAATCGTGTACGAACTTACAATTAGTACGTGATTATCGATCATTCAGCAATCGTAGATCAGAACGTCCGAGTCACGTGTGCAAGTTATTTCCACTGTTTCGCTAACTCGAATGCATTTAAAAGCGGCTCAGATGTTCTCGAACGACACAAGACCGGATCGAATGCTTGAAGATCCCCGGAAGGGATCAGCATTCAGAGTCAAACGGCAGGGAATTCCGAGACGGTCTGACACATGACCGATATATCGATATTTGTCACGTTCTTGAAATACGTACCGATCTAGCTAATATCACTTGGTGCGCATCCATTTGCCCCTATTACGTCGATAAATGAGAATGAGAGTCTCTGGCTTGCCTTGACGTTCCTTACAAATCGATTCAACTTCCATACAACTGTACCCCTTTCGATATACATACATGTACGTGGATATGTGTGCATGCACATATATACACGATTATACCTCGCGACAACAAACCACGAACGCACATTACGTTCCATTTCCAGTGTATCGGGTTTGACCTCAGTTACTGACATAAATTACACGAATGAGGGAGCATGTGTGCTCCAACCTATTTAATACTTTGCCTGCCACCAACTTGCAACGATCATATTTTTCTCTCCACCTTTTGAAACCGCGATGATGGTTATTTAATTCAAGCAACAGTGGCTCGATTCTAGAGTAAAGAAGTAGAGCCTGGCGAACTGGCGAAATTTTATGGAAATTTTAACGGAAATTTATAACGATGAAATAAATTTGTAACAAAATAATAAAAATATTAATAAAATAATAATAAAACTGTATAGTATAATATAAAATATTAATGAAATTTTGCGGAAATTTTATTAAACCGTTTATTCGCGAAATTTTTATAATTATGTTCATCTGTAATATTGAAAATGCGTTTCAAAAATTTTAATAGATTGGCAAGTATTGGCGGATTTCGTGAATTTTAATAAAACACATTTAAAATAGTATCGCGATATTCAATTATGAATCTACGATTATAATATCTTCGTTTAGTTAGGTAATTCATTTCTATTGAGTGCTACATGGTGGGTGGTCGATGACACGCGCGGCATGGAATCCCCGTTGATGTTACTTTGAAGGCACGACGAGTATATTGAATAATAATTAATATAACGTTCCTACTTTTCAATCTGTTACAAAACATAGTTGGATACAGTTTATTTCGTATGAAAAGAAATGCGTGAGCAATTGTAATAATCAAACAAAATAACAAACGAATTTATTTTGAAATAAAGTTGCGAAAAATAAAATTAATTCTAAATTGATTGATTATTTTCCAATAATTTGCTTATCAAGTGTATCTGATGATTACAAATAACGGTAAAAACAAAAAAAGCAAATGATAACAAATAGTTGCCTTTTATATAAGGAATATATATCTGCTAGCGTGAAATATTTATCTTGTAGAATAAGTGATTACTAAAACATTACGTATAGAAATGAATGAAACCTGATCTTATACGTAAAAGAAGATAGTAAATTAACTCTCGTATTCACATATAAAAAATTAAAATATATAAACATATAAATGTTAAAATAATCTCTTTACTGCAAAAACAAAAAATACCATAAAAATTTATAAAAATGTAAAACTCACATTTACGAGTGTTTTCTCAGGTGGCGTGGGGTACGGCAGTAATGGAATTGCAGAGCTGGCTGCTCTATCATCTTGTAGCCGTAACCGACTGCAATCAAGGTACACAAATGTTAACTGTATGATGCTCTGATTCGTTCCCACGAATAAGAACACAAGCACAAACGCATTTGCACGATGCGCGCAGCGCAACATCATTCTATATGTGTTGCCGTATTTTAATTCATTTGGCGTAATAATCGCCTTTTTATATATATATTTTACGCTATAAATATTGATTCGTTTTACATCGTTGCTCATTTTAGTTACTTTTGCCTGAGTTTCGACCGTGCTCACAGAACACTTCTTTATTTCATTCACAATCCCGTTATCGCCTAGAGGAAACAGCGGTCTACCAATGTTTGATGGTAAGTTCTGATCATTCACGCACTATCATTTTCCCTTGTTTTTGATCCTGATAAATCCATGAGACGTCACGTGTCGTGTTGCTTCAACTAGGATAAATGTATTTGCCGCGGGGCACACTAAAATGGCTATAGGCATTTGCAACATAAATTTCACGGAATCTAAAAGAAAGGCGTGTATCTGAAAACAATGACAAATAGATTTCACCTGTTCAAAGACACAGTCGAGTTTAAGTTTTTACTCGATAGTATATTATCAACTGCATCATTTGACTATCAATGACATTTGTTACGTATGAAAAATGTGTAACGTCGCGACGAATGTCAAACAAATTTTTCAAATGATCTGTCAGTTTTCGTAAAGTAACGTAATTTCAAAGTATTCGATATAGATTCGTACCTCCATAACCACTTGAACACAGTGGAACACAGTTAACTTACAGACTTAATCTTCCCAACGCACCCTGTGCCGTACGCTTTAACAACTCCATCTTTTCATCTGACAAGAGGGGTATTATTCGATCCCATATCTCCCCGAGCAGATGGTACAGCGCTTGCAATTTTTTTTTCCCCCAGTGATGCAGTCGGCGGCTACACTGAACGGCGGGTCTTATCCTGCCGGAGGCACCGGAAGCCGCGCTCGTGATTTAGGTCTTCGAGCGCAAAAAAAGCTCCTCGGCAGAGTCGTATCTACGGGGGCCGGAAGATCGTTGCTGATAGATGACGCCACCACGTCGCTTTTGGACAATTTGTACAAGCTTATGGAGAGAGCGGCAAAAGCCAACCTCAGCTTAGACAAGAAACAGCCTGAAAAGGTTTTAAAGAATATCGTTAAGTTGTCCATCAAGGTACTTGTTTCCCCCTCGATGATTGTTGACACAGATACGCGACACAGCCGCGGTTGTCATCTTGTTTTCATCGACAAGGTCAAGCGGCACTTCTCATCTCTCATGTTCGTTAAACACTTGCGTTCCAGGTGGGCCTCTTGCAACGTAATCAACAGTTAAACGTCGCCGACGACGTGAAACTCGCCGAAATAAGAACTGCCCTTCGAGCCGTGGCGATGTCCGTGGTCTCGTTCTACGAATTGGAATTCAGCTTCGATCGGGCGTATCTGGTAAAATCGTTAGAACGATGCAGAACCACGATACAGGCGCTGATTAAGTCGCATCTCACGGACAAGTCTCAAGATCGGTGTGACCAAGTGTTCGATTTCTTAACGCACTCCGACTTTCTGGACTCGGTTTTCAGACAAGATTCGGAACACAGACCCATCCTCGGGATGCTAGTCAGTGACATAAATAAGGCCTTGGACGTTGGGCATCTTTGATTCTTTTTTAAACGCGATCGCATTTTCGCGACGGAAACGAGAATAATTACAGAGATAATTAAGGGATGACGATGACTCTCCTCCCTGGATTATTATTTTTTGAAAAAAAAAAGAGAAAAAAACATGAAAAAAATGAAATCGACGTGTATGTGTGATACCAAGTTACTTATGGTCGTCTGTGTAAAAAAATAAACACAAAAGTAATATATATTTTCGACTCGAGGCTCAACGCTCTTGAAATGCGACGTCTCTCGTGAGAATATTGATCGATTTCAACACGGTAGTGCTCACCAATTTACGCAATAATTGTGAAATACTCTATTTATTTTCAGAATGTATATTGTTACGATCAATGTATATTTATTTACAACACCTGCGCGTTAGGATGCCAACTGTCAATCTATACCAAAAAAAAAAAAAAAAAAGAAAAAGAAAAAAAAATGAGCTTATTTATGCCCGAAAATGGGGTTTATAGATAATTACGGTAGAAGCGACTTCGTTAATCCCGACAGAAGAGCGCGTAAAAAAAAGCAATTTGTCATCATTAGAAAACAAATTACTAGAAATACATTCTCCTAAGATACTCCTTTTAAAGGTATAATCTTTTACTCGTCAAAGAGCTATATTCTCACATATCGACGAGTCTATAAAGAGACAGATTGCCCTGTGTTTTTACTCGTATTGTGCGCTTCTGTACGTTTCCGACATACATGATACATACAACATATCTAACACAGTTATGGCGAAGCCTCAATAATTAATTTGAACATTTACATCATATGTACTATGTCGTAGTATCGCGTGTTTTGTATACATTATACACTCTTTACACGTTATTGTGATGATTCTAAATGAAATAAGAATCTTGTATTGAGATATATATATATATATATATATATACACATACTATTAATAAATTATTTGTAACGAGACGAAAATCTCTCTTTTTCTCTCAATTTTTCAGTTCATTTTTAGTTCGACCAAAGAAGAAAAATCGAGATGAACGCAATTGTGATTAGTGATTTGATATATTTATTTACATAGATTATTTAATGCACACACGCGCACGCATACATATAAAATTAGTGTAATTTGTTCAGCAACCAAGTAGCACTGCCTGTATGAAATACTTAGCATTTAACATCTTAAATGAAAGTATAGAGAGAAAAATAACGTAGCTTCGTGCTATAATTTGTTCTAGCAAAATGTATATGTATATTTGCTTATAATCGTTACAATAGTTTGATTAAAAAAAAAAGAGAGAAAACAACATGAATAATCTAGTTGTAATTTATAAGAAATTTATATATATATATATTAAGTATTTTTTTTAACAATAAAGAATGTAATTTTTAAAACAAATTTTAAAAGAGCTTATAAGCAATTTATATATTGTCCGTATATTCTTAACATAACTGATCAATAATTTTTGAAAGGACGTTTTGCTACAGATCTAACAAGAACACAACCATACAGAGAACATAGTATATGGTAACTTAAATATATTCTTATAATACAGAAAAAAAAGAATATATTACACGCGTTATACATTTTACAGAAAAAAAAAAAAAAAATATTGAAGAAAATCAAAGTCAATTGTTAAGAAATACAGAGACAATTGATAAAGTCGCTATATATTATAATTTTTTCATAAAATCTTTTCATAATATTCATTTGATAAGCATAATATACGGAAAAATATTTTCTGGCACAATAATGCAGTGATTGTACCTGTACAAAACTCTTTTATAACTTATACATATAGTTTAAGTATAAAAATTATTTATTTATTGTTCCTATTGCATTATTTGAGTTTAAATACACGATACTTAGATTTGTTTCGCTTAGGTGACATTAGTACGAAAATTAGGACGTTTTAACATGGACAATAGCTGCTCACTGTTACTTGAAAATTTTATATGAAAAACAATAAACTTCGTGAATTACGTATAATAATTATAATCATTGTTGAAATGTATAACCTGAAATGCACGAAATAACTGAACAAAATTATGGATCGTTTGTAGCATTATTTTATAATATTTTGTTTGTAGTATTTGTAGTAAAGGTACATGTGATAATCGTGTATGATATTCAATGTATTCGTTCATTATGCATGATCATATACATATTCGTACAATCTAATCATGAATTTATAAATACAACACACATTTTTATTTATCATATAATGCAATGACTTTATGAGTATATGTTAACAATTCATAATCTGTTAATGTAAAAGTACACAGAGTATAGTTTGTTACCACATATTCATTGCGATATACTAATAATTCAATTACTTATTGTTTACATGTCAACAATTTCTTGATTCATTAAAATGTTCTATCTTAAGTATTGGAAATGCACTTGCATCATTTTACTGTATCAACAAATTTAATATATAAGACAGTGACAAACATAATGGTGAACTTGATCACTTAAGTACACCAAAATTTGAAAATGATTCATTCTAAAAATTAAATATAAATCTGTTTACAATTAAACGTGTAAACTAGTTATGCACAATTAACATCATTATAATAATATACAATTTATTCATCAAAGATACAATCTGTCTCAAAAGAGCATATAGATGATGTTTACAAAAGTTAAAACTTGATGAAAAATATATTATAATAATCTAAACATGTTCTTCTCTGTAATACATAGTGGCTTAAAGTCTTTCAGATTTGTCATCTTATGTTTACACTCTCAAAAGAGTAAATATTTATATACCTCACAGTTGGTTAAGAAATGGATACAACGTTTTAAAGAGAGGGGAGACAAAAGCGATTTGTCAGGTTTTTTTCTAAAAATTCGATGCTTTCTCATACATTGAGACAAACAATATTTATTAGAGAATAAAATTAGAAATTATGCAAACGCATATTAATTAGCAATATTACATGCTCTTACACTTTTTAAATATATAACTTAATCTCAAGTACTTTGTTGAAATATTCCCGACATACTTTTATGAGACAGACTGTACTTTGTTGAAATAAATTTTTCAAATTGTACATAAGAAATACATTAATTACAGATTGTGTACCATTATTTGTAATTGCAAATGTGCACAGCTGATATTTTTGAATACCTTTATATCATAAACTTGTGTAATATATGAATAATCGATTTGATCAAATTTGAGCAGTTACAATTCAAAATATTTTTTCCAATATCAGAAACAGATACAATTAATAAATTTAACATTATTTATAATAATATTAACAAAAAAATATAACTAAAAGAATTAATATTTAGAAGATAATAAACTGAATATATTTTTTAAAATTTAACAAAACAATAATAATTGCCATGCACACTTAAAAGATACTGTTTCAAAAGTTATGCATTGATCAAAATTATATATGTTTGACGTTCTATGTGATATAGAAATACATTATAAAGGCTTTAATAGATATTATTTTTCTAAAATAAGTTTTTTTGTAACAAATATTCATTATATATTGTTCTACTAAGGCCAGTAGTAAAATTTCAACTTGATAGATTGCATCTGAGAAACTTAATGTTCATTGCAGTGTTATTCGTTGATTACTTTTTAAATTTTCATTTCTATTGTACTGATGTAGAAATGTACAACACAGATAAAAATGATTTTAAAACTCATACTGTATGCAGATCATATAAAGACTTGAAACTTTTAAAGTATTTTTCTTCAATATTCATGGTACATTTTTCTTTGTAAGATTTTCATACAATAATTTATTAAATTTCATATACAATAAATAATACAAGAGCAAACTGTCATGTTAAAAGATGAATGAAATTAATTTAACAAGCTGAATTCATAAAATAGATCACATTGATTATAAAATTAGTATTTATCAGATCTTGGTTTTGAATGCAACAATGGTTTTTGATACATTAAATTTGGCTTTCCCACACTGCATACAAACATGCTGATATACTTGATTAGTAATATAAAATAGTTTAATGAAAATCACTTTCAGAGTTAAATATATGATTGAAATGATAAAAAAATCGAATATCTTTATTTTTATCACTCATTTCTTCAGGCAGTTGAGATATATACACCTCTAATTGTAAGATGTTTTGTCAATATTTGCTACTTTCTTATTTATTCATAAAGTATAAAAATCTTTGATAAGTATATTCTAAAATTTTAATATCCGAATATAATTTTTTACTTAGTTTCTTATATAATAAAATCGAAAAGAAGTGAAAATACAAGATGATGATGATCAGATAATGTTCCTTAATTCTAGAATAGGTGTATATACCTCCTGAGATAAAATTTCAATAATGTTTAGTTAAATGTACAACTTATAATTACTTACGTAAAATCGATACGGTAGTTTAATTAATTAATTAATTAAAATTAATTTTATTGCCATAATCCTGCATAGTTACCATATAAATTTACGGGAAGAGGACCACCAGCGGTGAATAATCGAGTTCCTGATCCATCATAGCAATGGGTATATATAGCAGGTGTATACTTCACATTTTGAAATCCATCTATATACTCTTCATCAGGAAACTAAAATTATCACAAAAACAAATATTACATTTACATAAAAGTCACCAGTTCAATTTCAAATAGTTGTATTTGCGAGAATCTAAAGTCTTTAATACCCGATATTTCAGTCAAATATACTAACTATATTCAAATACTTAGTATATTTAATAAATACAATACAAGATAAATTTTACTTGATATAACCACAGTTTAGAGATTATATATTATAGACTATTTTAATTAAAATTCAATAACATGTAAAATTCGAAAACACTTCAAAGTTCTAGTTTGTGATTATTTTAAACAATATTCGTTTTAAAATGTGCTCCGAGTTACTCGAAATTTCGTAAATTATGCTTATATTCTTACCACGTAGCCTTTTGATGCTTTTAATACAACAATTCTGTTAGAATTAATTGATGATTCAAGATATTTTTGAGCCCTAACATCATAAAAGAACATCATTCCTAAGCCTGTACCAATTGTTAAAACGGAACCTTGAAAACTAACTGATCGAATTCCACAACCGCTGTATCTATAAAGAAGACATCATTTAGTACAATTTAATAAAGATCACATAAGTTCCAATAAATCTAAAGTAATTGTAATTAATTCGTTTACCGTGAAGGTATTCTTTTTATAGGTTGTACAGTCCTTGCATCTAAAAGTAAAGTATAAGAACGACATCCTACAGCATAAACACCATCATCTTGCACAGCAAGGCAAACATTTTCTTGACAAACTGGTAGTTTTCTGGATATTTTTTGTCTAAAAGTCTCAGCAGACCAGATGTGTATAAAATTATTCAAAGTGATAGCAGCAATTTCTTTATACGTTCTATTGAAGACGAGAGCTCGTACTTTTTGCGCAGATCTACATTCCTTGACACATACGGGTTGAATCAACCTAATAAAAAACATAATGTAGCATACTTATAAAATATACTTATTATTTGTATTTTGTATAATGCAACCTGTGTGTTGGCACGTCCGCTTTGTCAGGAGCTTCAGCAAGATCATTATCTATACGCCATAAAGCCATTTTGGTATCTCTAGAACCAGAAACTAAAAATTCGTCGTCTAACCAACACATATCAAAAATCCAATCTCTATGACCACCTTCTCCCACACAAACTGGATCTAATGTTGGTAGCCTATATATTGCTATTTCATTACTATTTCTTGCTCCAGTTGATAGGAGAGTCCTACAATATATACAAAATCATAAGTTACAATACCATGATTGTGAATTTAATTTATATAAAAAATATTTTATCTGTATATACCTAGAAGGATTGATTTGAACAGAATGTATACCACATTGCTGTTCAGGAACAGCATTACCCCCTGAATTAATTTGCCTTCCATGTAGAGATGGTATTTGGTCTAATTTCTGAGTTGCTACGTCATAAACCATTAATTTGTTGCATTTTGTACCAAATACTACTTGCCTATCACTTAACCATTGAGAACAAAAGACTTTATTCATATTATTTAAGCTAACCGAATATTCTTTAAATAAATCATGAGTCAATATGTGTCTAAATCCATATTCTTGATTAATTTTTCTCACTTCTCTTGTGTTTGTTTCTCTTGCACGTACATAGTCCACGAAATTGAAAGAAGTTCTTAGAAACTGTTTCCCTTCACTTACAGTCTCTGCCTCATCATCACTCGACTCATAACATATAAAATCATCTGGCTTGTCTGATTTTCGGTTTCTTTCCAACCTCAAGGCTAATCTAAATTAGATAAAATTATATATAAATAATAATTTACGATATAAATTAAAACACAAATTATCCAATTAATTTCCACATCAATATTTTTCATTATTTACCTTCGAGCACGACGTTCTTCCAAACGATTTCCACTAGCACAAGGAGGATGTCTACCATAAACAGTCATTCGCTGCGTTTCAGCCATTGTGTCTCAATTTTATAATTTACTAATTAATTATATATTATGATACTTGAATGCTCTTGCATATGAAATATATTTACGTGGCTGGTGTGCAGTGAAACAGTAAGAAATTATATATCTTGGCAGCAATTCTTCTCCGACTAGAACAAAATCAGGTTCCAAATTTTTTTTCTTGCTTCCGTGTGGTAATGAAAGTTTCTTGATCCCGAAGATTTTCGGTTACGTTCATAAATATTTACATTTTTGTGATTATTCATGAAATATAACAAACCTTACCAGGACGGCAAATTGCCGAATCTATCGTGCTGTCTGAGCAACACTTTTCGAATAATATCCTCTTATCAGATGCACGGCTTCATAATTATATAAGTTGCGTGCACTTACATATGATAATATGAACATCAAGGCTTCGTATTCAAATGATACAAGGAAATAGAATGAAAATCCATGAAATTCATGATAAGCAACGAGACTTTCGTAGCACTAAGCAACTAACCATCGCCATATTGAAACGAACAGCACAGCCGTAGAAAATCTAACAAAGCATACTGAAATCTCTTCAACATGTCGTTCGAGATCCTTTCAAAATGATTTTCGGAAGCTTCTGTATTTGGAATACGATGGGCAAATAGATTCTTGGACAGTCGAGAAAATCGAAGGGAGCAACTTCCATCAATTGTCAACAGGAGCAGTTTACCCCCTCTACTGAATTTTATTACAGCTGACATTTTAGAAGAAATGGCATCCTTCAAGAAAATAAATACCAAAGTATTCGCAAGACCGAACTCTGAATTAACCCCGGAAAATATATATTGGAAGAAATATACCGTGAGTATGTCGCGACGTCAAAAACAATAAATTTTTTTATGATTATATTGTGTCATTAATCTACGATTCTCACACGTGTATCAGACATAACCTACAAATAAATAGCGTTTAAGATTACATATTTAAAGGTATAAAATTTAAATTTCTAAAGTGTCTTTGTGTCGTTTATTCAACAGGCTCCTGTTTTAGTAAAAGAATTTGGACCAATCGATTATATCGATTTTTCACCGGTAGAGCCACACTACTTTGCCGTCACTTGTTCAGTGAGGGTGCAAGTGTACAATCCAATCACAAAATTAGTTACAAAGAATCTTAATAGATTTAAAGAAGCAGCTTATGGTGGATCGTTTCGCAATGATGGCAAACTACTTTGTGCTGGTGGTGAAGAAGCAGTAATTAGACTCTTTGATGTCCACACGAAAAGTCTTTTACGAATGTTTTCCGGACACAAAGCTGCTATACATAGGACTTTCTTCACTACAGATAATCTTCATATTGCTTCATTCTCTGATGATAAGACTGCAATAGTTTGGGATATACCAAGTGAAAAACAAATAACATCTTTTAATGAACATTCGGATTATATCAGAGCTGGTGCAGTTAGTCCTATTTCCAAGGATATATTATTATCTGGTGGCTATGATAAACATATATATATGTACGATACAAGAACAAGCAAACAAATTCTCAATGTGAGCCATGAAGCTCCTGTTGAAAGTTTATTATTTTTACCCTCTGGAGGCATATTTTTATCTGCAGGTATGTCACTTTGAAGAAATATATGTTTCTATAAAAAAATATTTCATTTATATTTAATATGATTGTAAACAGGTGGAACAGAAATTAGAGTTTGGGATGCACTTGCTGGTGGCAAATTACTTGCAAAAATCACTCAGCATCATAAAACTGTAACGTGTTTAAAGATAGCTTCGAATGGTCACAGAATTTTGTCTGGCTCATTGGATAGACATGTAAAAATTTATGATTCTGGAACATATAAAACTGTTCATTCCTTAGATTATCCAAATTCAGTTCTTAGCATAGGAATTAGTGTAAGAAAATTTCATATTTAATTGTAGTTTATATTTTTAATTGTAAAACAAAAATACTAAGCATAATATTTATAATTGCAGTCAAATGATGAGACTATTGTTGCTGGTATGGTTGATGGTTTAATTTCTGTAAGAAGAAGAGAAGAAGAAGTAAAAAATGAAAAGCCACGACGTAAAAAAATATCATACAGACGTTCTGGGAGAAATTTACATACTCCTCAAGTAGATGTTGTTGTACACGAAGAAATGAAAGAAATTATGTCCAGACACGATGCTTGTTTAAGAAAATTCGAATATTCAAAAGCTTTAGATTGTGTCATGACTACTTATGTAGTAAATAAAGCACCGCACGTTACAGTTGCGCTTATGCAAGAGCTTATCAGAAGACAGGGTTTAAAACAAGCTTTGAGTGGTAGAGATGGCAAGTCTCTTGTAAATATCCTTAGGTTTCTGAATAGATATGTAGGAAGTATTCGATTTGGAAGAGTACTGCTATATGTAACTAATGTATTAATGGGTAATATATTAATGTCCTTTTCATTAATCAATTTTTTATTGTAAAAAAATTGCCTTTAAAAATGTATGTCTAAATCATTTGATGTTTCAACAGATATTTATGAAGATCATTTGGACGAACTTGCAGCAGAACCGCGAAAAATGTTTAGTATTTTAGCGGCGAAGTTAGAAGAAGAAGAGAATTTAATGCTGGCATTATCAGAATTGCAAGGAAAATTGCATATGATATTATCTGCCGCAGAAAATGTACCTCCGACACTAGTAAAAGATATCCAAACTTTAAAACCATCAAGTGCAGCTCAAAAAAATTTAATTTTAAGTATTGCATGAATATAACTTAATATACCGAGTTATAGATAAGAAAAAAGTTGTACATACATACTTGTCATACATATTTTAATACATATATTAATAAAATATTTTAATAAAATTGAAATCACATGATTTTAGTTCTGAAAATATTTAAATTATATGACATATTTAATTGTGAATATAAATATTTCAAATAAATAAACCAGAGAAGCGTTCATTTTTAAAATGCGTATAATGCATATCGTTTGTATAATGCATATTCGTATAGTATAAATTACTAAGGCGTATATCAAATTTTATTTTCAAAATCTATAATCTAAAATTAAATGCTATTAGTTTATTTACGAAATTTCTTTTTTGAGGCATTTCTGCCAGGCAGCAGAGGATGGTTTATGAGGCATTATCCATCCAATTGGTATGGCTGACGCATCACTGTCTGTGCTTATATACTTATCCCAAGCAGTTCTAAAAATAAAATAATTACAATATTTATTTCTTAAAATAAAATAAAATTAATACAATAAAAAGTATATAATAATTTTTTAGTATATAATAAAGTATATAATAATTACCTCACAGTAATAAGTTTGGTAAAATCTGTGTTATACCGATCAAATATTACTTTCGTTCCGAACAGTACTTTTTCCCACTCATCGAAAAGACTCTTTTTCTGTTTTTCAATTCTTTCTTCATTGTCATTCTTTAACATTAATCTCAAATTCTGTTCCTCTATAGAGTATTCGCGATCAAGCATTGACCATTGTTCTATTAATTTTGCTATAAAAGGTATATTACAATGTAATTATATGTATGTGATGTTATTGAAATAATTATTATAAATAAATACCAATAATATTATTAAATGCTTTATCAGCTGCTGAAGATAAATGTTCCCCTCTAGCTCTGGCAATATTGGCTTTAACATTTCGTAAATTTCGTAATTCTTGCAACAGTCCAAGATATTTCCTAGCATCAGTTCTTTTCCCTCTAACATCGAATAGAATCATATCTGCATCTTTACGTAAATTTTCCTCTTGTTTTTCTTTCTCTATTACAGCTTGTTCTTTCCTAATCCACGAATCAATTTGTGCATGCATACTTGTTCGTCTTTCCATTTTCATTAATTTTTCATTTTGCCACTTCTCTTTTTTAATTTTTTCTCTCAATCTTTTTTTCTTGCGTTTTTCTAAATCTTTTTTTAATTGATTTAAAAAACATTGATCTCTAATAGGCTCTAATAGCTTAACAATTTCTTCTTTTGCAGTGTTACAGAGACTGATCTTCTGTTGCCATTCTTCTTCTGTCAAATGTTGACTATCTTTAAGCTCAGCACAAATTGTTTTCAATTTTTCATTTAGTTTATATGCTGATGTTATAGCATTTTTAGTTATAGCAATTTTAGATTTTCTGCATGTGTTTCTCTGGTCATTTATACTATTATTAGGCTGATTAACTGCCAAGAGAAAATTTTCAATATCATTTTCATCAGCTTGTCGTCTTCCGAGGTTAATTATTGATGTTGGATTCTCACTGTTAGATGTATCAACTGAATAAACATAATTTTGGTATACATTTATATTGTAATTGGCATTATAAATGGATTGATTCATTGGGTAAGACATATCATAACAAGGATCTCTGCAACTCTGTGTAGGATCCTCTAAATAACTTTGATTGTTAAACATAATTGCTCGATACTACTTAATTTTGGAAAAATATAAAATATCTTAATACTATCACTTTCTTTACACTAAATGATTACTTTAACTTGTTTACAAATCTTATATTATCTTAGATGAAAATATAGTTCTTTAAACTTTTAATAATATTTTAATAAACACAATAGGTTTTGCTTTTTTAACACATCTCCATAATTTCTCCCTCTTTAGGAAGTTGAGTTTCTGCTTCTTGTAATACTTTCTCTGCTTCAATATAAACTTCAACCTCTTTTAAATCTTGTTCCGTGTCCAAAATTTTTTTTAGTTCTTCGAAAGCTTTCACAAGACGTCGTTGACAATCTGGTACCATCATGAGAGACTCTTGAAGTACTTCTTCTTGTTTTTTTATATCATAACCATCCTTATCTGTAATGAAATTAAAATGATATAATAATTATTATCTTTGGAAAAAATAAAAATAAAGTAAACTTGTTTTATTACACTGAATATATTTACAAGTTTTATAAGCTGTTTAATTATCATTTATAAACTTCACAAACAGTTGTTTAATTAAGCAGATATTTTGGAATATTAAATGAAAAATAAAGAGAATACAAAATTGTCTGAATAAATAACACAGCTATTGAAAGGATCAAAATAATAGACTAATACAACAAGCTCTTCGGTCGCTTTTTTCAAGTGTTCTCACCCTGTTCCTTTAATTTCTGTATCCTTTCACGTTGCTGTGCTGCTTCTTTCTCATACGTGACTTTTTCTTTCGCGAGACGTTTCACTACTCCAGTTTTAATTTTTAGAGTTCTTATACGAGGATCGGACATTGTTTAAAACAAATATATTTTACCTCGTATGGAGAAAATGAAGAGTTTACTGATTAAACGAGTTTTTCCTTATAAGGTAAGATGAATAGCTACAAATGAAATGAAGAGGAACTCTGTGGTGTATAGGTTATACCGATTGATAGCCGGGGACTGGTATTCCATTAAGTTATGTTCTTATGACATGAACTTATCGAGAATATCGATCATTTCAATCGATTATCTAATTTACATTTAACATCTCTTGACTTATAGAAAATAAAAATTTTTATGTTATAAAAGTAACTAGTATAAAATTTTGTATTAAATAACGTACGCATACGTGATTTTCATTTCTTTTTTTTTAACGAATATTATTAACAGATTTATCAATTGTCATCAACAGATCCATCGTTAAGCATTGCGTCAAAAGAGGAAACTTTTTATTTCGAATAATTTTAAATTGTTGTCTTAACAATCATTGGTATACTACATGATAAAACGTTCTTCCCTAAATATCTTGGTACGTATCGATAATAGTGTAAATCATCGTTCTATAAATATATATAAGAAGATACTAATAAACACGATATTTGGAAGATGTAATGATATTGATGTTTTCTTAGAGAAAGAAATATATACAGATTTGATGTCTTCTCAACCACAGTTCGGAACCTCTGATTTCGCGCCATCTGAATTCAAACGTTCGAGACTTGCAGAGAACTTCAAACAGTATCGCAGTATATCCCCCCACACTTCCGTAGAAAAACGCTACATCGTGCCTGCATTGAAAGGTGCAGTGAGAGAAACAGAAGGGTTAATTGTGTGTCAGTTTGTACCTAATTTTCCGAGACATGTAACGAATAATAGTGACGAGGTTACAATGCAAGACGATATTTTCCCGGCTGCAGAGAAAATCCTATCCGACATCGAAAATGTGGTGAAGAAGAATCCGTCACTGTGAGTGTTTTCTTAGATACATTACGAGGGCGGAGTCTTTAAAAATATCTGTGAAATGTACCTCTAAATTCGTGGATTCAGCCCGTCACCTTGTTTATCGTATGGACGACGCAACGTTTCACGTAGCGTATTTTAATTTTGATAAAATTACGTCGTAATATCATCATTGTACGTTTTAATCGGACACGAGAACGTACGACGCTTTGCAAAAGGTTTGCATAGTAAATACAGTATCAGCAATGTTGGTATCTGGTATTTACGATAGGAAACTGGCGCCATCGCGATTATTAAATCTTAATACTTACTATTGAACATGCTTCTCTTTTTCTGTTTCTCTTTTTCTTTTTATATATATATATATATATATATGTACGTGTATATATATAATGCGTGTATGTGTATACACATATTATATATATGCCTCTATATGTATTGCAAGTGTGACATTATAATTGCATGCATACCACTGATGTTATGCCAATAACCGATAATGATAGTACATATCAAACTAAAGACATTAAAAATATATATTTATAGCAGTATATATACATATATACATATATATATATATATATTCTTTATATTTTTATGTAATTCATATCATTCCTTGTAATATTAAACATTTTTTTTTAATTATGTTATCACGTTTAATTATACTTTTAGTAGTAATTATATTAAACTATATTTGATATTTTTTAAAGTCTTTGAATTTTTGTATCTCAACATGTGTGTTATAATAAGCACAGAGAGTTTTAATCCTTCAAGAACTATTTCTGGCATTTTTTCCTAATCTGCTCAGCTTGAAAAGTTCTCCATTGATAGAAAAATGCGACTGGATCGAAAAATAACTCGAGGAATGCAGAAGTATATTTTAATTTTAGTTATGTAAAGCAAATGAACATACGTTTACGTTGAAAAATTGCTGTTTAATCTTTCTCACAGCAGCAGTTGATGTTTGCTGAACACAAGAGTTCGCGTAAGCTAAAGCGTTGACCCGTTTGCAATTTCAGGAAAAGTTTCGAAATAATCCCCGCGGAAGACAATGAGAACAAATCACCTGTATTCCATCAGGAGGACTGCCTTGGGTTGGCGTCGTGGTGCGTGCAACCGCTGTACTGCTACGCTTACCGTCGACTCTTCGAACTTCGACAAAATAAACACAGACGCGAGGAGCCAAGCACAATAGCAAGATGGTTGTTGGGCGCATTGTTATTGAATCCGAATGTTACAACATTTTGGAACATGCGACGGGAGCTGGTAAGGAGTCACAAATTGGAAGCATCCGAGGAATTCTTTTTCTCACGATTGGTGCTCTACCATAAGCCGAAATGTTTCGAGGCGTTCGCCTATCGACGGTGGTTACTGTCGTACATATTGAACAGTAAGGACGGACATTACGATCCAGAATCTGTGGAATCGCCACTCTGTAGGGAATTGGATATAGCGACTACGTGTGCGGACAGATACGCGAGTAACTATCACGCCTGGAGTCACAGGCGTCATGTAATTACTCTTCGTGAATCCCGTGGATTTGCTTACCCAACGTTGGAAACAGAATGGAAGAACTCACTGGCCTGGTGTCAACGACATGTTTCGGATTACAGTGGGCTTTCCTATCGACAGTTCCTGCTGAATAAGTACATGTTTGAGTTGAAGGAACTACCGAGGGAATCGTTTATAAAGTGCCCGGACGTCGGGGAGCAATGGAAAGAGGAACTATTTGCTTACATTAAATCGAACATCAGTGATACAGGGGACATGCATCAATTGCAGAGGTTATACGACTGGATGAATGCGGAATTCAGGGCGATAACTTCGTCGAGAAGGAGACAACGTCAGACAACGTATTTCCGTGCTTTGTCATATTGGCTGGAGGAATGCCGTGCGAATGACAGTGCCATTTGCACATACAACGATCACGAGGCACTATGGTGTCACCGTAGATTCCTGGCGTATCTTCTCTTGCGTTTCATGGCGTCGAATCATTCTTATCACGAGGACGAGTATGCTGACGGCCGATCTGTCGACGAATCAGCCGAGAGAAAGAATGTTCAAAAGTCGTTGACGAACGATGTGACCGTGTGCCATGATTTTCTCGTGCAAGCGTTTCGCGCGCGCACCAACAAGATCGCTGATCTCGCTACCAAACGGGATCAACACGAGAAGATGCTGGTCGAGAGGTTCTTTAAATTTCTTCAAAGTATTGGGTTCGAGATTAGATCGTGATCTTGTTGAGCCAAGGTTCTATTTTTGCACGGCGGATATAACGTATGCGCAATAATCGACATGCATCGATATGCCACTGTAAAAATCACGCAATAACTCTCTTATTTCTGTATTCCACGCAGACGTTATTCCTAGGCGTATTACTCTATCCACGAATTGTATCTCAATAGTGCTCTCTCGTCTGATCTGTTTGCGCGGCAAACTCTATACGCGTAAATCAGTGCTGTCCACGGGAGGGGCCCCTTGTACGACTTTGTCCCCCTTTATGTGTCATCGTTACGAGAGGAACGAGAGCTCGGAAAGAGATGAAGTATGATTTCTTTCTCTTCCCAACTCGCTTTTAAAACAAACGGATATATAGGCGAGAAACTCGTGTTAGTCGCGCGCGTACAATGTAGCACACGAGAGACAGAGTCAGAGAGATATTCTTTACGCCCTGGAGTTGAAGTTGGACAGCACTGTTGTATAAATGATATAGAATCATTTACGATAACGCAAGATCTAATGTACAATGTAGATGAAAAATGGAATGAGTAACGATACTTATTTTTGAGACATTTACCGTGTATTGTTTAAGAGAATTTTCAATAACCGTGCACGATATGTCGTATCGTGATAATTGACGAAGAAAAATGAGATACCGGATGTTGGACAACGTTTGATTTTCTAAGCGTTGTTCTACGATTGCATGGTGAAGAGAGCGAGAGAGAGAGAGAGAAAGAGAGAGAGAAAAAGTGTCTTTTGAGGCTATAGGGAAATATTATCACGCGATAAATATGTGTATAGTCGAACGTTGATAAAGTATGAGATAAAAGAAGAAGAAAAAAAAAAATGTTAGTTTTGTAACCATGTGTTTTTAGTCACCTTATATGTAGAATAGCGGAGGTCCGCGAATGCAGGCCATTTACATCGTCAGGCCAATTGTTTTAACGCCACTAGTACGTATGCGACATTGGCCACGTTGTCCTCCTTTGGCACGACAATCTGACCAAAAATAAACCTTTGGACTTTTGACTGAATTTCTCTTCAGTCTACCGGGAACGGTCGTTGAACGCGTGTGATCGTCAGATTTTTCGTCCACCAAGTCCTATAACTTCCGTTTCATTGTTACATGTTAATAAAGGTCAGTGAACCCTGTCGACAACAATTCTTGTCTTTTTCGTTCACCGATGCAACTCTGCCCTTGGTACACATGCATACTCGCCTTGAATACACGGTCTCTCATAAAACGGACTTGGCCCTAATGCGACGTTCCACTTGTCTTGGCCTTAATCTTCCAATGCCCTTCAACTCTTAGAATTAACGTTTCACACGTGCAAGAGGACATAAAATCTGCAGGGAATTACACGGTTTTAACATAACAGCTGCAAACGTAAACGTCTCTTGGATGCTCCTCAAGTTCCAGGAAAATGTGTATTGTTTATTTATTTATTTTTTGGAGTTGCGCTACATTTGTGAAAACAGAAAAACATGTTATCATTAACGATTAAAAATATCATTATTGAACACGAATAGAAACGGTAAGAACACCGTGTTCCTCTGCCGAACAGCAATTATTTACATCCTGCGTATTTACATACAATGCAGTACTAATCGACGCATGATAATTCCATTTAGTAATAAATGAAACGTTCATCGACCAAGCGATAGATCGATAAATTCCGTCTAACAATGAGTGTCGTAAACGATATATCGTTCGCGAGTTCGGAGAAGGAATCGACCGAAAAAAAATTCATATCTCGTTCTAGACACAACATTGTCAACGGATTACTCTTAATATATCGTCGAAACTCGCACGTGACTATTGTCTATTACGTCTATTGGTCGATTAGTTCGATTGTACGACGAGGTACGACGAGTCGCGGTCGATAGGTATCCTCAGGAGATTCCACCAGTGTGATACTTCAGGGAAGACAACGTGACAAAGTGTGCAGTGGCGGGTCGGACGAGTCGTTTGTCCTTTGCTCGTTCGCCAAAAATCGAACGCATCGTAATATATATCGGAAGTCGAATCGATGGCGTCACAGGCTGGATCCACGATTCAAGCTAACCTCAATGATTTCACCAAACAGAACCGGATGAAGGTCGCTCAACCTAAAGGTAAGCTGATTACTTTTCTCTGTTTTTTTTTTTGCCGCGTCGTTCGTTCACTGCGTTGTTGCAATAACTTGCGAGTCATTTGTCGACAATTTTCCCTGGAAATTTTTTCGTCAAACGCGTGTTTATTTTGATGAAACGTGGTACAGAATACAAGCGAGCCGCGGTTTCTTGTTGATATACTCGTAGATAAATAATCACTATTTTATGTCGATGTTGTATACATGTCGTTCGGGTATTTATAACCTGGGTTATAACAAGAGCACCCTAGAAGCTTCGAACATTGACAGAGATTTTTCAGTTAGATGAATTTAATTATTTGTTTTCCCTTTTAATTCTTAAGTACACGTATATACCGAGTTTGATTGTTTTCATTGGAAAGTTCATTTTTCGCATTTTGAAATGTTGGATGCCTGAAGGTGCTGTCGCAACGTTATACGGTATTTCATAAGCAAAAAGGCTAGTAATATTGTGAAAGTGTGTGGGTAAATTTCTTTTTGCTGCAGTGAAAGTGGGCGAACCTTATCTTTCTGTTGATTGCATATAAGCTTTATCTATTAGATTATCTTGGTTCTAATGTACTTTATATATATTTTGTATGTCATCCTTGGTGACATAATCGCATAAAACAGCCTTTTTTGAATAAAATATATTGCACACTTGAAACGGAGTAACACGAAAAAGACATGATAGTGTAATATAGATTAAAATTAATAGCATAGTTATATAAAGTAAAAAGTTGCTACTGAAATAATATTATAAGCAAATTCATAATAAAAGTTAATAGTACAAAAACGTATATAAAATAGAAATTGGCTGATAAAATAATATTGCAATAACAATTCAATCGATAATAAAGTCAGTAATAAAGAGGGGAAGAAAAATAATTACGTAGAGAGAAAGGTTAACAAAATTGTCACGTAAACTAGAAATTAATTAATCAAGTAACATCAGAATTGGAATTTGACGTACTTGTTGCAAAAAAAAAAAAAGAAACTAAAAAATTATTACGCAACGCAGAAGCAACATAATACGCACAGTAATAAACGGAAACAATAAATCAAAGTTCGTTAGTAAAACAATATCGGAATTCGATGTACTCGTTGCGAAAATCAGCAATAAAGATAGAGAGTTATTAAACCTTGACCTATTGCCGAATTAACCACGTATAGATTCGCTTCCTTCCTCTTCATCCTTTATTCATAGATTCGGTATATACGTGTATATACGGAGGAGTTCAAAGCGACATCACGCTCCACTTAGCATTACCAAGGTCGGTAATAGTTTAGGTATAAATTTTGTTTAAATAACAATTCACGTGGGGAGGAAGCTCGTCGTGTCTTCACTAATCGACAAAAATCCCTCTAAGAGGATTGGATGCATCACCTGGCAAGAGACCCGCATAGTGTTCGTAAGAACGTCCTGTTTAAACGTGAAACAATAAAGCAGCCTTTCAACGGGTTTCTATGATGTTTCCTCGGATTATAAATCTAGAAATGTCTAAATTAGGAGTTGGAGCGTTAAACTTCCAAGCAAATTTAATACGTTACTTAAAAATCTTCATCGATGTATGCTCTTTTAATCGGAGACGATGAAACTTAAGTAGTTCTTTCTCATGACAGAAATTTTCTTTTCTTGGAATAATGTGAATATTGGAATAAAAAAAGATAATAAATAATAATGAAGACTAGATGAAAAAAATACATATACACTTGTTGAAAAAGTGTGAATATTTTAATGCATCATATTTGGAAGGGGGAAGAATTAATATTAAGTATAAAGATGTAAAGATTCAAAATTAATAAACACAAGTATTTTGTAAAAAATCAAAATCTGCTACTGTTATAATGATTAATATTAGCTTGATTCGAAGATCAGGTAAAAAAATATGATGTCACATTTTTTCATGTCTTTTCATTTAATTGTATTCCGACAGTATATATATATATATATATTTTTTTATTTTCTTGAACATTTAGAAAATATCAACAATTGCGCAAATCAATATCAATTAACATAAAAATTAAATGTTACTCGCTTTTTATGTGACGATTTGTTATTATTTATCTTTTAATTTATCAGATTTATTCCTATTTTCACTTTAAAGATCAGAAAATTGACAAAAATGGACTTATATTGTTTGTGGTCTTCATATAAAAAATTATATCTTGCTCCTGTGGCCTTCATATGTGATTGTTTCATAGAATGTTGGATTAAAAAATCCATCAAAAAAAATACATTTCCCTGTAGCATTGTATCTAAATATTCACAGAACATGCACTTACTACATATACTCTGTACTCTGATTGCGGCAATACTCACGTGTCGTATGTCTATTTTAACATCTCTTCTCTCGAGAGAGCGACCGATTCCATATAAATGTGAAAATTTTCAATATGACGCAGACAGACTACCGACTTTCTATTTTAAGATCAGTTTAATCTGTCGTTGGCATGCTCGTCGTAAACAGAGTGCAGAGTCCTTCGCGCAATGCGTTTCATTACGAGTGTCGCGACATGTACATATTTATATGGATTTATATTATGTACATATTACGCTTTATCGCTTGCATAAACAAGTACCTTGTCCGGTGTACTTTGATCAAACATCATGAAACTCGTCATGAACACTGTATATTTATATTTTTATTACTTTTTCGTGGCGTTTTTGTTTTCCTTCGTTTAATTCAATTAAATTACTAGTAGATCGTGAATTTTTATGCATTTTTAAATTTTTAATCTATTGTTTCGTTATATTGTAATTTATTTTATATATATTCGTTCACACGTTATAATATACACGTATGTATTTCTGCAACTTCAAGTTTCCAAGAATCCCTGAATGCTGTAACAAATTGTATAATGTATCTTTATTTGAAAAAATGCGAGTCACTTAGTAATGAATAAATATTAAATGAAACATTTTTAACTAAAGGAGATAGAAAACTCAAATGAAATACTATATGTTAAAAGGTTAAAAGTAACTTATAGTAACGGTGCCTACAATAATAAATTTATAATGAAGTAACTAGAAAATGAAAGCAGCAAATGTAATGTGTGCTAAATGATACACTTTGTCCAAGCATAACTAAAATCTCTTATTACTTTTCATCATAAAATATTTGTGGTTCTCTGTGTTTTTTAACTTTTTTTAAAATAAAATCACATTGTATGAACTTTTTTATTACGAGTGTAATAAAAATTGTAAAGAACAAAATTGAAAACAGAAAGCAACGTAAAATGATAATATTTGAGATTCTTTATGCTTTCTACTTTACTAAATAATAGTGATATACATATACGTATGTTACGAACAAGATGACGTAAGAAAAATAACGATATCTCATTTTTCTGGAATACTTTAAAGTGGTGGATAAGGGATTTCAAGTACAAAGACAGAGCAGATATCTCAATGATTATAGCCGGTAATGGTAACAATTCGATTAAATACCGTTTTCGCATAGAATCCGTCCTTCTTGTCACGAAATACACAGCTCTGAACTCGCGACCCTCTCCGTGAGGAACGGACGTGCACATATGCGCTCACTTAATACTAATTGAGACTGAATTAACGAGCACACGGATAAAATGGAACTTGAACGCGCTATCGGCCAAGCGCTGACGATATTACGGTTATCGCGACTCTCCTGAATTCGCCGACTATTGTTTTTCTTTTCTTTTCTTTTTTTTTTTTTTCATTATCAGATTTTATCAATTCGCGAGATGCGAGGTGTTCTTAATCCTGCTGCGTTCAATTGTATTTGCCTGTATTTTAAAAGATTTCTTTGGCACAGACAAGAATTATTAAAAGACAGAATTGAGGTGAATAGGTGAAATATTATGTTGAGAGAAATACTAGCTAAATGTTGTGTTCTTGTTTCAATTGTATTTTTCTGATTTTAAAAGATTTTTAGATTTGTCGTTCTCCGTGAATTCCAAACTTTCTAGAAATTTTCTACAGTTTTAAATGTTACAAAACACTTCTAAGTGTATAAAATAATTGAGTACCATGGAGAATGGAATACTACACAGTAGAAAATGATTTTATCGAACAATTCCTTATCGATATCCTGATAAAAAATTGCACGCTATTTTCATATTCACTTTTAAAGACAAAATATTCATTACGACAACTAGTTTAAAATTTTTGCACAGTACTGTCGTTCCGTTCGAAAGACATAACAAATTTTAAATCGTCAAATTTAGGTCGTTACATGTTTTGTCTTCATTTGTTGCTAACCTGCGAGTTTGTTTTCTCCAGTGTTCTAGGACAATTTTCGGCGTTGACAACTCGATCGACGTCCGTTTTTTTGATGTTTTAGGCTAATGCTTGTCGTCGATTGCCTCCTATATTATTCGTTAAGATTTGAAATTGATTGGCTAGTAAGTGTTCGCGAGAATCGTATAAAATACAGGAAATCTCAGGCTCTCAGGCAGTATCGTATTCACAACGAGCCAGACAATGTTTCTTCATTCAACATCGTACTCTACTCAGAATCACATGTAATGTATGTATCATACTTATCATCTCTCGGCAACTACTCAACAATTGTTAAATATCATATGAATTAATTAACTTCTAGTTAAAAGCGAAATTCGTCCTCTGAATTCGTGTAATTTCTTCAATCTAATTTCAATTTTGGATTATAAAATTAGTCGAAGAATTATCGGAGATAGGCAGGACGAATTCAAAATTACTCGTTATAAAATTATATTTATACAATTTTTCAAAAAAAAAAAAAACCAATCTTCTCAAGTCTACTTCTCGTTATAAAATTATATTTATATAATCTTTGAAAAAAAACCAATCTTCTCTAAGTCTACCTCTCGATTATCGATTATCGTCGTAAAAAGATTCTCAAAATTTCATACAGAGAAACAAAGAGGAATTCCCGTTCGAGCGATTCTTTGTATTTCGAGTGACGAGAATTTCACGTGGTTACATCATTTTGCGGGACGATTCCGGAAATAATTGTGCATCAAGGAGAATCCGCGGATTCGTACGTGTCGCAAATATTCGTACGTGTCGTTGAGGGAAATGCGGCAAAGCCAGGAAGGATGCGCGGCCCATTGCCAAAAAGCGTGACTGTCCTTGTACCTAAGTGAGACATTCGAGTTTTTAGTCGTTAGTCAGAGTCTTGCAAAGTCGTTTTTCAAACGTCGCTATATACTTCCGTCTCGACGTGCGAGAGATCGGTGATTTGTTTTTAATGAGGTTAGTGCCATACGGATCGTTCACCAAACGAAACGATACTAACGTAACGTTTTTACGAAATTAAAGCAATCAGAGAATTAATTCGTTCGATTTAAGAATCTTATGTTTATCTAGGGGTCTACTTTTTAAAGCAAGAGTTTTTTTTATAGATTTTTTTCATTTTACTCTATATGCCTTTGCTTTGTGTCGTGTTTTGTCAATATCTGACGTGTACTTTGTTAATATCTTAGTGTTACAAAATATTATATTAATACTTTCCCTGAAATCACTTTTTTTTTTTTGGAATTCTCGAGATCATCGATTTCTTTCTTCCAGTAAGAATACGTATTTTTTGAGAAATCGATCAACAAATTTCTCATACTTTGTAAAGTATTAAAGTACTTATTTTTGCAAGTTTAAAAGATTCATTCATTCCGTGCTTTGTATTTTTCATACTTTTTACAGTATCAACCTAGTAAAATTTGTGAAATTATTTAAATCCCCTCCCCCTCAGATTCCAAAATACTCTAGCCACGAAAAAAACGTTAACACCTCTCGCCTCGCCGTGCTCCACTTTTGGTCCAATTTGCTCGCGAGACTCGTGCAAGGTGTGTTTCTAGTTTGATCCGCTGTGTCTCGCCGCGTCGGTCGGAGTATCAAGATCGTTTCTCTATGGCGCTGCGAATTGATCAGATACGAGGTAAGCACGAATGAACGAATGGCTGAAAGTTGACTTGATTACGGCAGTAGAGGCAATGCTTGTAATACGCTCACGTAATACGTAACTTTTGCAAGGAAACATAACATAACCGAAGACATAGTACACCGAATGTTAAGGTTGGCGTGATGCAAGAGAGGTTTTAAACGAATTAAAGCCAAGAGCCAGGCAGGAATCCCGCGTCTTTTGCTAACAACACCACGCCACGATGTTTCTTAAACATCAGTCGCCTCTCAAGCCTTCCGTTTTGCATAACTTGTTCGCGACTTTTTACCGCTTACCTGATCTCTTATCGCGAAATATTTATCAACGCTCCACGCGAAGAGGAACCTGTATAACGATGTCGACGCGAGGCTTCTCAGGTGATGATCGCCACGCTTGTTTGAACGTTACCCACTTTTCGTGAAAAGGAATGAAAAGGAAACGAGAAAGGAACGAGATAGAGTAAACGTTTGTGATGTGCCGGATATATTATTGCATTTATAATCGTCGGTTACATGACTATCGCGCGTCTCTTGGACTATGGACCGTTGTTTTTTTTCTGTTTTTTTTTTGCATCTTTGTAAGTTCTGCGTCTGGCGGCATTTATGTATCTACAACGTGACAATGTTGGGCAAGTCTCGAGTCTCGCAAAGTAATTTTCGGGAAGTAGATAATTATTCTCGAAGTGTGTCTCGACGAGTGTTTTTGGTGAACGATACAATTGTATCTTGTAATATTTTCAGGGCGTTTTAACGCGTCTTTCGTTTCTAAATGAGGTTGTAGAAATGCAAACAGAAACGTATGAATTCGCAAGGAAACGTGAATTACTCGCAGTGATTGCTCCTTCTCGCGAAATACGATTCGTGTTCGATTTATATAACTGGCTTTGAGTGATTCCACACAGCGTGTGATCGATTTTAAAACTGAAAGACGTGCTTTGTCGATGTGAAATTAACTTATATATACTTACATACGTATGCAGTTTGTTGTTTGCTTCGTGTCACATCGATAAGTGTACGATTTATCTGTTTTTTTTTTTTTTTAATTTATTTATACACGCAATCGTAATTTTATTTATGTTTTTTTTCATATTTCTTTTAATTCTAATTCGCGTTTTTTATTCATTTATTCGCATTTTTATCTGTTTATTTGTTAATGCATTCTCTATCACATTGCTCGTATGCGAACGACAGTGTATCTGTAATACTACGTATCACGTGATTTATATACGCATGTATAGCGATACTTTTTGATACGTTAGTCATGTTTTTTCACTATCAGTCGCCTTTTATCTATTTATAATTTAGTTAAAGTAGACCTGAAGTACAAATTACAATATTCCATTTTATCTAAACTTGTGGACAAATGATTTACGTAATTGGTATTCGTCACCAACTGTTTCGAGCTACTCAAGTAAAAGAATTCAACAGTAGAAGTTCGTTCCAACAAATGGATTCGATTGAAATGGTTTGTCGGAGAATTATTTAAATATTTCACAACTGTACAAATATTTTAAATTTACAAAGTGTTGCAAACAACGGGCAATATTTGGCTTAGTCGATATTTTTAAATGTTCAAAAGCGTGGTAAGAAGACATATTTCATTCCGACTCGATAAAAGAGCAACTTCAAAACCTCACCGTACTATAATTTGAGTTTTCCTAATTTATATATAATATAATACATTGTATATATTATATATAATATTATATATATATATATATTTAACTTATTACCCTTATTAAAAATATTAAGCAATTTATATTATATATAATATTATATATATATTTAACTTATTACCCTTATTAAAAATATTAAGCAATTTCAAAACCTCACCGTATTATAATTTGACTTTTTCTAATTTATATAATACATTGTATATATTATATATAATATTATATATATATATATATATATATATATATATATATTTAACTTATTACCCTTATTAAAAATATTAAATTTATATATAACATAATATATTGTATATATTATATATAATATTATTGGCACTTGAGAGTACTTTAGAAAATCTCAAGATCATAAGATCACAAGCATTACATTTTTCTCGTGTCGCGACTACTAAAATTCGACGACTGGAGTATTTTTTTCTAAAGCACTTCTCAAGCACTTTAGAAAATCTCAAGCTCGCAAAGGCGAGATACATGTATATTTGTCTCATTTCACGACCGTGAAAATTCGACTCGAGTCTCTTTCACAAAGTGCTCAAGATCGCGAGCAATCTATCTCTCCCTCCCCCGCCCCCTCCCCCCACCTCCCCACTTCACGAATGCGACGTTCGACGAGATTGTGACACACAAGGATCACACGCTTGTTTTCCAGACAGCGAGCTAGGATCGCCGTTTCGACGCGCCGCGTCCCTCCGGCTGCCAAAATCATCCAACTCGAGCAACACCGTCGATCGCAATCGATTGCACGTGTCGCCGTGCGACGGCAAACCATCACCATCGCCAGCATCCATAACCCCGGATAAGGCGGACGCCACACCAGTCCGGCCCGCCAGGCACTCCGCACCTGCGATCGACGCACCTGCGCCGGAATACCTCGCCAGGAATCTTCTCCAGCTTGGCTGTCCCGTCGTGTCAATGCCCACGTAAGTCTCTCTCTGATCTATCGCGTGTGCACTCGTTTACGGCTCGATAGATCCATCCGGATCGTCATTTCGTAGCGATTCCCGCGAACCGCGATCATCATCTCTCGCTCTCGCCCCCGGGAGAATAGGATTACTGCGCATTTTGCACTGCGGTTGGCGAGAGAGTGGCTGGCTGTGGCGCGGCTGGGTGCACGGGGTGTGTTACTTTAGATATAGAACGACAAGGGAGGAACTGTCTTCTCCTGGCCTCCGAGTGAATTTCGTGGAGATGGAATGTATTCGAATGAAATCTCGGTCGGTTGTAGATAGTAAATTGGAGGAGTTGAGCAGTGACGTGTTGTTGTACTCGCGGCGGAGATTCTTCTTCGTGATGTTACGTTACGGCAATTTTCTCTTGTCTTTCTCGTTTGGCAGTCGATGAAATTAATTTGTTGCTGTTAACCTCTCTTGCGCTGGAATGATGGACGCGTGCCACGTCGAGAATTTCTTTTGCAATATTTTCTCAGTTTTATAAGTATATATATATATATATATATATACCGAAGTATAACCTAAGCGAATGAATTTATTATTTCTTAGTAATTTCTATCTAAATGAGAGCGACGAATTATTGTGTACGGTTTGGTCGCTCGTTATGGTTGCCAGCGCGATTGGTTAACGATTCCCGATGCATATTTTCGAGAGTCGAAAGAGACAATTCCGAGGTGACGTGGTCCGGTCCTGAGGCAGGAGGCTCGAGGTCCTTGCGTCTACCAAAATGTCTCGAACCGCTTGCTTCATCACCCAAAAATACACTTTAACATACTTCGACTCCAATTTTTACATCCATTCTTCGTCGCGCGTGTCGTTCCTACTTCCTTATCTTTTAATTACTTTAATTTTATCAAAGAAATTTAATTTACCATCTCTCATCGAAGATAAAAAAACAGAAAAAAAATCAAAGAGAATGAAATTTGTTCCCCGTTCACAGGCGATTCTCTCGCTACGCTCCTGTGTCAGCCACCGGGCGTACACCGGCAGTCCCTTAATGAGGAAGTTATTTTTATTTCGCCAGGCCTGCGAAGCAATTAAACGTCCACCTTGTAAACATGTATCAGCGCGAGGCCAGCTGCGCACACGTGTTATCGCGCCGCCGAGATTGGGGAATAAACGTTCGCGATCAGCTGACGCGAGAACCGCGCGCGCGTTCCCTCTGTCGGTCGTTTTTCCCTCCGAGATATATCTCCGCTATGGGTGCAGCAAACGATGCAATAATCCCCCATCGGCTGCATCCGTTCGCCGCGCACACGTATCAACCAGCCAGCCAGCTCCTCGTTCCGCTATACATATATAGATGTTGCAACTGGCGGCGTGGTGTACGGTCAATAGCTGGCAGGACTGGCGCAGACGCGCCGAAACAGCTGAGTGTGCGTTCACGTACATCCAACGGTGCTGCTGTACCATTGGTGTACATCCGCGAAAGTGTCGTCGAGCAGCGAGGAGAATCGCACGAGCGCCGGACTGCAGCACGTCCGGCACACCGCATTGCCGTATTTTCACTGCGAGCTCTTCCCGAGTCGGAGCTGTCCACGTTGCCGCTGTCCACTCGCGAAAAGTCCGACCACCTGAGACCGGGAGTTAGTTTCGCTCTTCTTCGCTGGGTTTTCCTTTTTTTTTTTTTTTTTTAAACGAGACAAAAGAAGACTGAAGATTCACTTTTGTATTCACTCGAGACGTTTCCGCCGAGATGAGGGAAATCGGTGCACCGTGTTAATAAGAGGGAGAGAGTCTACGGGGGAAAGTGGTTTCGGGGGATAGCCTCTTTCGTTCGTTGTCCCTCTGAGAACGAGGAGGTGTACAACGAGTGAAGGGCGGTGAAGGGGGCGAGAGGGGGGGAGGGACTTGTTAGAAAAGAAATCAGAGAATAAACATCCGTATGCGATATAAAGAAGAGTTTCATTGATCCTCCAAGCAGCCTCTTGGCTTTGAAACAGAAACGATGCTGCGACCGTATTGAACCGCGAGCGAAACTTTCGGCTTCTCGTTCCATCGAATGGAAAGTTGTCGAGGTCCTTGTGTGTCGTTACCGCCGTTTAACCATGAAGAACGGAACGAGCGGATAAGGAAGCCTTCTCTAGAGTGATTAGAGAAGCAACGAAAGGGACCTAATTTTCGAGTTCAGTTTTTGCATGTGACACTGTGTAGTTGTAACAGTGGGACAGTGGCGCCCCTCTATTGGACTGCTAGCTACGACAACACTCATCGCAGGTGTGACTTTTTCAAACTCGTTTTCTCGCGTCAACCGCCGGAGCCTTGCGTTCAGCAAACGGTGTTTCGACCAACCACCGTATTTTTCAAACTTTTCCATCCGCGAAAGTTACGAGATCCCAGACTCATCTTTGCTTGTTCGTTACTTAATCGATTTTTCTTTCTTCCTTTTTTTTTTTTTTTTTTTGTATGTCACAAATAAGGGAGAGAGACTTTCTTTCTCTCTTTCGTTCTTTAGATCGACCCTTCCTCAATCGTCTCGAAATTTACGTCATTTAAAAGGCACTTAACCGCGTGTGAAGTCCACGTAAGGTTAAACATTCCATCATTGACGCATGTGGATCATTTCCTTCCCGTTGTTGCATCTAATATAAGCTCTTGATATTTTATTTCCCGTCTATTATCCGGCTCAAATATCTGCTCTACTTTCTCACTGACAAAGAAACGAAAACCATCAGGCCCATCGTAACTTTTCCAAATTTCTCGAGCGCGAACTTGAGCCACAATTCAAAGCCACAATTTTCAATCTCGTCGCGATTCTCATTGCAAAAAACCTGACAAATCTGACGAAGAAAAAAAAAAGAAAAAACATAATCGCTGTCATCGAAGCAGATTAAAATTATTGATGAGTTTCGGATTTGCGTAGCTGCGTAATCAGATCCTTCGTTAGACAAGTAGCAACAAATCAGTGACGCGACGTAAATTTCGAAATATCATGCGGTATCGTTGGATGAAAATCGTTATCCTCGACAAGGAATTCGGAGGGAGACCAACAATGTATTATTAATCCCACGATGTTCAAGTCAATGGTCATTGACCAGTTTAATATTTCGGAGTTGCTGATTTTTTTTTTCCAGACCTCGTGGAGGAGTTGGGTCTGAGCCTCCGCAGAGTAGCGACAGCGATGAATACTCGACGACTCATACCCAACAGCAGCAGCAGCAGCAGCAGCAGCAGCAGCAGCAACAGCAGCAGCAGCAGCAGCAGCAGCAGCAGCAGCAGCAGCTGCAACAGCAGCAGCAGCAGCATGGTCATGGGCATGGGTATGGTCAAGGACAGGCGGATATCTACAACGTGCCCAAAGTCCAGGTGTCGGGACCATCGAACAATGATGAATCCTCTTCCGTCGTCAATGGGTAAGTCTGATCCTATCCTATTCCTATTTCTGACGATGATCGCTTGATGAGGGAAGTCTGGCACATTATAATAATCTTCTTAGAAGACTGTAGATATTTATGTATTTGCAAAATACTTGGATGTAGAGTAGTTTGTATAAACTCTGTTTATATGAACTTTTCAGGGAACAAATAGTTCATATATATATATATATATAATTAGAATTCATATAATAGATATTTGATAGATATCCTACTCTCCATTAGTGATTTTTTTTGTTCATGTAATAGGAATTTAGATTAGATTTAATATGAATTTGATATGAATTTTTCAGGGAACAAATAGTTTATATATATATATATATATAAAATTGGAACTCATATAACAGACATTTATATGATAGATATCCTACTCTCTGTTAGTGATTTTTCGTTCATATAACACAAGAGTTCAAGTTCAAGTAAGTAGATCTAATTAACAGGAATTTATTAGGCATTGATTAAATGGAGTTCATACAAATAGTTGTATTGTAACAAATATGTAAAGATAATAGATACGATAATAGATCATATGTAAAAATGTAGAAAATATTCAAAGTAAAGCGTATAGTTGTTATGGTAATCCGGAATGAAGCTCTATCTAAATTTTATTGTTTTGAAATTTGCATAAACATCCGCAGTCTATTGTAACTTGTCTACTTACAGTCTTTCTGGCAAGTAGACAAGTTTATATATATATATGGAATGTAAGAAATGGAATACATATACATATGTTGAAGAGGAGAAAGAAGATTACATTTATAATAATGTTACAATAGGCAAACATTATTCTAGATGATTATACAAGGAAGAATTTTTGCAAGTTTAGAAGTAAATTTGATATTGGAGTTTTCTCTTGTGCAGAATTACATTTGCGAACTCTGAATTCAATTTCATATTAAAAACTATCAGAGACTATTAATATACTCTCTTATAAATCGAAAACAAATTTAATAATAAAACTTTCCAAGTAAATTTTACAAATTATCTGCTTGTCTTTCTATAAAAGAGATTTTAAATTTTCAACTTTTAACTTTTATCTTATCGATAAATAAATAAATAAATAAATTACTATCACAGTGGAATACGAGTAACTTCAAATATTTGTAATTTGCAACATAAATCAAAAGAGTTCAGAAAACTTTGATAAAATATTCAACCCAGATAAATTCAAGTTGACAAAAGGAACACGTCTTTTTAGTTTGGTTACTCTAGAAACATACGAAATTTGCATTGCAAATCTAACCTAGTAAGCTGTGTCGAACTTTCTACTGCATGGTTCATCACTCGTTTGATATCCCTCGTAAATGAATCCAACTTCATATTCCGGCCTTCGTATTTACATAAGACTGTTTCCAGAGTATACGTATAATCTCTTAATATATCGATCGTCAGGTACATCGTATTTAGTAGACCGGGATGTAAATTAACGCGGACTGGTTTCAAGCTGCACAGCTTGTTCGCGATGTTTTGCTCGTTTTCTTGAAACGTGTCGACCGTGAATCCGCGAATGTTGGAGAGTCTGTATAAAAAAAAAAGAAAAAAAAGAACGAGGAATGTCAAGATTTTTAAGCGTTTCTTAAAAATCAAAGATCCATTCCTTAATATTTTATTAATTATCTTTATTTATTTTTATTTAAATATTTACATTTCTTTTCAGTAGGTGTAAAATTCCTTTTCATAGTGTAGAATAATAGTGGTCAATATTGGGGACAGAAAATCTCGATAGAATACTGAATGTACACGTAACGTCCTGATTTCGTATTTTCTCACACGCAGTAAATGAAACTAACAACCGTGATAAAATCGTCGATACTTCAACTTCTCGAAAGTTCTCGACAATTCAAATTCAAAGGCGCGACATAATCGGCGATAAAGAGCACGCGAACGGCACCGTGAGAAAAAAAAATGTTAAACTCGTCGAAATTTACATTTCACCCCGCGTGCTCCTCCATTATTCTTTACTCTGGCGTCGCTCAGTTAAATTAAATTACATACGTATGTTGATTCGATCAGACGTCGAAGGGAATTCAAGTCGAACGCGAAAAGCTGCAACGCGTTTCTTTTTAGTGGATCTTCGTCACGTGGCTCGTTTCGATTCGGTTCGTTAGCGATCATATTTTTGGCAAGTTGATATCGTGACGTAAATAATTTCCTCGATAAGGGAAACGCGAGATAGTAACCTCTCTGGTTCCTCTCGGGTTACGTAACTCGTTCGCATCGAACTGTTTGCGTTTGGCTAGTCCAGTGATTTATTTCCCAGCCGCCATGAGAGAAATGAGCGAGTACTCGCGATGAAATATTCATTGGATGAAGCGTGGCAATTTGTTGAATATTTTCAAGCAAGCCGACTTCTTTGAAAATTTGAAATTTCGCTTCGGAAGGATATCGTGCACGAGAACAGGACGTGCCTCGACGTAGAATGCTAGAGACGTGAATAATTTTGGTATTTTCGGTAGTACCTTGAATAAAACTATCGATTACAGGTTCGCAGAAAACACGATTTCGAGATCATTATGTTCCTATTCGAAAGTTTTTGTTCTTAATATTAATATTTGGAAAATTAAATTGCAAGATTAATATTTGTAAATTCTGTAGAAGAAGTCATATTTCTATTTATTTTTTTTTGTTTTTTAATATAGAGCAGTAGTTTTAAAATTAAGCAATTATTAAAATTGTTCAAAAGTTTTATTTCATTTTGCGACTAGAAAATTTCTCCCGTTTCTTTTCAGAATTTTTGGAATATTCTTTCTATCGTGTAATGTCAAGATGTTAAAACGTATTGTGTCTTTAGATAAAGATTTCATCAACTATGTTACAATGAAGATTAAAGAATCAATATTAAAATATTAATTAATATTAAAAAAATATTATTCTTCAATCGCGTGACATTAAAATTAAAGAAATATACTTATATCACATGTTTACTATATTTCCACAATGAAGTCAAAGTGTCAAGTCTTCACTACTATTCTAATTGTAGACTCATCGTAAGCTGTTACGTCGAATCTTTCAAATTTATTATATAAGAAATTCACGAGTGAAGAACTACGTTTTCACAAATGCCCCGATACAACTTACGAACAAGCACACGTAGAAATGTTCGAATCCTCGCGAGTACGTGCCGCAATTTTTCTGAAAAACTCAGTTAAAGGAGACTTGAAAAAGAAAGCAAGCTTATTATCAGAGCGCCGCGGCGAAAAGAAGAAATAACATCGTGGCGGGTGTTTTTTTAAAACACGATACCTGCCAACACGCTGATGCATCGTTACACGTCGATGAACCAATTTCTCATTAATAAATAAGCCATCAGGATTGGCCACTTATTTTTAAATCAACTCTTCCGCAGCCAAGGTTGCGGCCTCTAAAAATACATCCTTCGGGAAAATTCCTTTTTGTTCGACGTATCGATTCCCTAAAGCTAAAGCGGTTCGATCGGAGTTATCGGTTTCCGGCTCTCCTAATCGCGGGAAACACAAGTAAAAATACCTTCACGATCGTGTAGAAACTGTCGCAGACACGCTCGAGATTTTATATATCGGTTTGCTGTGAGTTGTTTTCACAGATCGCGATCTCAGAGTCATCTTTCACGATCTCTCGTGCAAATACTCGTCGTCGTTTTAACGTGCAACGCAAGAACATCCTCTCGATTCCCCTTTATCGATAGGCAGATAAGTTGTCAGAGGTAAATATGATTGTCGAAAAGGACACGACGTTTTACTTTAGTTTATCTTTCGCGAGTTAATCAATTTTTTCACGTTCGTGGACGTTTCAAGTTCGCGCGTGTGTCTGTTCTTTCGCCAAATTTCTTCGCGTTCGGTGACTTCTGCTTCGAAATTTATGGATAAGAGACGAGTTGATTAAAACCGTAAACAGATAAAATTCTCTTCAAATGTTTTACTACTTTTATTTAAATTGTTAGCCCGTGAAAACTAGTTCTAAACATGTTGTTTTTAATTGTCGTATCATTGTATCTCCATTGGGATCGAACTTGAGTCGATTTGAGCCGAAATTAAAATTAAAATTAGATCAAAAGGGCTAAGAAACAAATTTTCGAAGCCTGAAAATAACGTAAAGGTTCTATTAGGATTAAGTATATTGCAGAACTGTTCCGTTTCCTGCATAGATACACAGTATTTGGGTTACTCAGCTCATAAGCACGAATTATCGAACCAACACAAGCGACACGCGATCGCAACGTTGTTGTAGATTATCAGTAACTATCTACGATCTCCATGCATAGGAAATCTAAGTATCTAGATTATTTTTGACAGGGATTATGTAATATGAAGATTCAATTTTAATCGTGAAGTTGAAGCTTTCCAATCTAATTTGTCACGCGGTTTTTTTACGATTTATGTATCTGAAATGTCTGAATTTGTAGAAAGTTTCACATCGACCAAGTTTCTGTTTATTCTAGGAGTTTAAATGGTTTAAATCGGTTGGTTCTATTGTAATGGAATTCTGAAACACAATCTACATTTTCTAACTAGCATTAATACTAGCAATTATATTTTTGGCTTGTAGTTTTCAAATATCTTGAGTCATAATTATACAACAGAATATAATAATGTACATATATTTGGTTTCATTGAAAAAATTCAATGAAGATATGTGGACATAACTGCAGGAACAGCAAAATAAAGTAGCTAATGATAATTGTTTGAGTCCCTTTGTAGACTCGAATTAATACAAATTACACAAGTTGCATGGTTTAGATAAAATTTTACGGAATTTTAAAAAACGAATTAATTAACTAACTAATTTATAATAAAGAAAATTACAAAAATTGTAAAATATTATTTTATATATATTATTATAAATATAATATAATATTATTTTATACATATTTAAAAAATTATATAATAAAATTATTCGTTCTGAGAAATCTACTAATTTACGAATTAGTCGGTCGTTCATATTTTAAATTCATACCAACAAATTACAAGCCAATTGTACATAAAATTACAAAAATCGTAAAAGTTCTAAGAGCTTTAAATTAAAAGTTTGCAAAAAAAAA